TAATCCGTCCTGCTCCGTGTTTATGGAAGCGGGAGGTCGGACGCCGCTCCGCCTCCTGCCACCGATCTGATGGCGGCTGTTTCAGGACGCCGTGCCGCTTCCCGCCAGGCTTCATGTTTTCATCGAGGCGTGACCCAACAGAGCTTCACCTCTGGAGTTCCTGCTGTCCCGACGTTCCTGAACTCGCCCTGCTTCCAGCAGGCTGCTGAGGAGCGGCCGGAAACGGCCGCCTGCAGATGTTCCGGTCAGCTGGATCTGCAGATGTTGTTTCTGAAGGTTCTGTTGAAGTGACTCCCACCGCTCGGATCAGAACTCATCTGAGCTCCAGATCCCATAAAGTTTCTAGTTTCCATCTGAAACCTGTCAGGAAGTCGGATGTTTTGATGGAAAACCGTTTTCAGTTCAGTTTTCTCACGTTGTTTTGGTCCAGTTTCTCCAAACCGTCTCTCTGCCGGCGTCGCCATGAAGACACGTCTGGGGAGTCCGACAGTCCGGATCCGGCCCATCAGTGGTTCCCTCCCGTTCCTCAGCCAGGGTTCTGGACTCTGATCATGATGTCTCTGCATGGATGTTGCTCCACTAGTGCTGTCTTCACAGGCAGGCCCACAGCATGACGCAGCCTCTGTCCTGTCCACGCTCTCCTGGATTATCAGTTATTTCTGATTGGGGAAAATCGTCTCTGATCAGATTTTTAATTTTCAGTTGATGATAAACTCTGTCAATAACATCAATATAATAAAACGCGAGTTTCAGTTTTGGAGCAGTCATTGCTGTGAAGTTGGTGATTCAGGAATCGTAACATTGATCTGTCAGCCTGAGGAGTTTTCTCTCTTTGTTCATCCTTTAAATCCTAATCGCCTCTTTTCATGCATCTCCGTGTTTTGTCCTGTAAAGTCCAGTAAATCCTGCGTTCCTCCATGTTTGACCTACTTTGCTGCAGGAAGGGCTCTGACTCACTGCTGCTTTCATCTGAAACCTGGTTTAAATGTTCTGCAGTAATCCTGTCTTTAGGTTCGGGAAATGCGGCTGGCTGCTGAAACAAAGCCCAGTTGGACTTCCTCCTCCGCTCAACATGCTTTTTAATTCATTGGAAGAGTTTCAGTGTCGGCATGGCGCTGGCTCTGCCTGCCACCTTATGTTCACACATATGGCCCGGCGTAGCGGCAGCTAGCGGCGGCTCGGCCTTGGACTAGACGGTGGATTTGCTCGGTGATTGATTGCTTTTCTGGCAGCGGATCATTCTGCGGCTCGCCGTCCTGTTCCAACTGCAGCCGAGCTAATTACAGGAGTAATTAAGAGCGGGAGCGCAGATTAATCTGACTTCAGTTGAAGGATTTTTGGAGGCAGCGCAGATTGTTTGCTCAGAGGTCACAACTTTGAAAATCCCTCCATAAGGAGCCGATAACGAGGTCGGAACCGGCACAAAGACTCGGAACAATCCGGACTTCTTCCCTCCAACCGCAGCAGTAATCTGTTTACGCTGAACGCCGCCGCCGTGTCTAATTTGAGTGCTAAACATCTAAATCTCATTGTAAAGGTAAACGGTGTAATCCTGCTTCCCTCCAGAGGAAACGCGTCGCTCTCTGCTGGCGGCCAGCAGTCCATTAATAGAGGCGTCAGCTGCGACTGCGGTGAGGACCGGCCCGGTTCTGATGCCCGTCTGATTGGCCCCCATGTGGGGACGCTGTCACTATAATTGGCCCCTGAGTGGTTTTCGCTGCGTTTCATTGGCTGCTGGGGGAAATTCCAGCTGCAGATTCCAGTTCAGGTTCAGACAGGAACTTTCACACCTTCTGGATCCAGTTTGTCTGAAACGGGCTCAGCTGGGGCCCGGTTCTCATCTCAGCCATCCACCGCTCATGTCTGAGACGCGCTGACGTCTGTTTGCTTCTTTGTTGGTTTATTTTCAGGAGGATCAGAAGCAGAACCTCCTGCTGGGATTAAAACTTCCTTCCAGGTAAAGTTCCGACATGCTGAGCCGTTTCGGGTTTTCTGAAGGACTAACTAAACCCAAATCGGGTTCTAAATGACTCCTTAAGGGTTCGGTCATTACGACTCTGCAGACTTTCACTAATTAGTTTTGTTGTGCAGGATTTTAATAAGTTTGAGGTTTTCTGTGCAGAATGATGATCTGAATTCTGTCCTCAGGTCTTTGCTGCTGTTGCTCCAGTATTTCTCCACCATGTGACGGTGAAGGATCTTTCTGTTCTTCAGGTTTCAGTGCGGACACCGAGCCGATCGCTGCCAAAACGATTATTGATTATATGAGATTAGTATTGATTATATGTGAGATTAACCAGAAATGTTCTTTAACAAACATATGCACTCACACCAGTCTCACAGCTGAACCTTTAAAACGCGATAGTCAAACTTGTGGTTCAGATTTTTGAGTTTGGCTTTGAGGCTGTGCGAAACTATCAGCGCCGAAACTTTTCTACGTTTTCTACGTTGGAGCCAGAATCTCTGAAAACAGCCTTCATGGACGGACATGTTGAACTGGATGAGTTCAGGACAGAACATGTCTGTGGTTCTGCCGGACTGGGTTACTTCCTGTGAGCTCACATCCAGACAGTGAGCCGGAGAGGTTCTGCTTCCGGGTTGATGTTGGTTCTGTTTGGACTCCAGGTTTCCACGTGTAGGATCCTCCGGGTCGGACGGTGATCCAGAACAAGGAGCGTTTTCATCAGGTTTCTCTTTCAAGCTGCAGCCTGGTTTAAACATTAAAGCTGAAATGCTGCTGGATCAAAGTTTGATCAGAGAGCAGCCGCTCGTCCTTCACCTGAAACGCTTTTCATGAACATTTCTCCAGAACGTTCTCTCAGGTCCGGTCCGGTTCTTGCTCCTGTGTTCAGATTAATGTTTTTTGTTACAGTCTGTCGTTTCGCGGGGCTGCGCCTCCCGACACGCAGTGCATTCTGGGAGCTGGAGCGGCTCCGACCCTGATGACACCTGGACGGACTGCTGGCTGTTTCTGTGTTTGTGACAGAAGTGGTGATTAATCCGGGTCACATGGCTGTAATTATTATTTGGGTCGATGTTGTGTGACTGTTGGTATGCGGAGACGCAGACTGGGTCGCGCTTTGATGCGGCGCCAGGCAGCAGCTGCCCTGTCATTCACACCAAATAGGAAATGCATCTGCAGCTTTCTATCTTTAGATGCTCTCAGCAGTTTTCACATAGTGTTCTGAACCCGACCCGCTCCCTCTGGCCCAGTCCAAGCACCGCTCGCCAGCAGAGACCCTGACCGGCCGCATCGCAGTTGCTTTTTAAAAATAGAGCAGAGCCTCTTTCACATTAAACTCACAAACCCGACACATAGAATAACTCCTTAAAGGTCAGAGTGACCCAGCAGAACCGGTAGGTTCTGGTTAAAACCCAGTGTTGGTTCTGGTTCTGCTGGCAGAACGCCTCCTGGACTGAAGAGTTGAGCTTTTTTACAGGCTCTCTTGATACTCTGTTGGGACCTGCCGTCCTCCTGCTGCGGGTATGGAGCCACTCAGCAGGGTTTCTGCTCAGGCCTGGTCCAAACCTGCATCCATACCTCAGAACCGATTCAGAATCTGGCTGTAATCAAACTCTTGCTACAGCAGCAGCAGCACCTGTTGCTACATATTAGCTTTTATCACCTGGCAGCACAAAGCTGAACCCATGATTCCTGTTAGCATCTGTTAGAGGTTAAAGTTTTATCAGATGTCAGTGAGGCTCAATGTGTTCTGTTGCTACTTATTTTATTTTATATTTGCTAAACATTTTCAGTATTTTGTGGTATTTATTCTGACAGTGACAAAACTTTATCAGAGCCTCATAATCACACGGATTATATACCCCAAACAAAAAGGCTGAATGATTTTCTGGGATGTGTTAAAGGTTGATGGTCCTGGAAAAGCACAGCTCAGGTTTTGTCACATCAGAGTTTATGGTGACTAGAAATCATAAATCTGACCTGCATTATTTTTATGGCAACAGGAAATAACAGAATAGATTAATAATTAAGTTTATTGTCCCAGAGTGGAGACATTAAAGATAAATGGAAGCGTCTGTATTCACACTACGGTTTTAATAAGGTGGCACTAATTTACAATTAGTGTAAAACTGTAAAATATTAATATTGTAGTTATTAAAAATTGCATATTCAGAACAAGAGAAATTTGTGCAGCTGATTAGAATCATTTAGGAAAATGTTCACAACATGCAGCGTGTTGATGCATAAAAACAACCGACTGTTTACCTCCGTCTGTCTGATCCGTCACACACACACACACACTCCCTCATCTCCAAGCCTTTCGTCGCCTAATGGCCGCTGGTTTGTGTCTGATGAGTAAAACTGGATCAGGAAGAAGTGAGCGAACGAGCAGAGCAGCAGGATGAAAGGCCGGCTGGAGAACGGCGTGGATATAAAGTTTTCTCAGAGAAACCCACCAGAGTGAGGCTACACCTGGACTTCTAGATGATGGAAAAGTGTTTTTAGCAGCTTTAAAGCATTAAAAGCAAAGTTTGGTCCGGAGGTGGGCGGTGGGCTCCTGCTCCACCTGGGAGGCGGCGTGTTGTTGCCAGGAAACTCCTGCAGAGAATCCACTTTCTCTGACGGGACAAAGTGGAATCACAGCGGGACGCTCCCTCTTTCCCATCCGTTTTCTCTGCTTTCTTTCACTCTTTCTGAGGCCTTTTGTTCCAACACACACTCAGTCAGGAGGGGTCTGAGTTCAGGCCTGCAGCACACACCTCCACACACTCGGTTTGACCTCTCACAATGGAGAAGGCATGCATTCATTAGGACTCCCCCAGAAACCCGGCTGGTCGGTTATTGTTGGTTAAGTCACCTTCACCTCCCCCTCCTTCATCTCTCCATCTTTCATCCTTTATTCCCAAACCGGAGCTGAACTAATCAGGTTACTCCCTGCGCTCCGGTGCAGGATGGGTTTCTACCAGCCAGATTTGAGGTTTGAATGGGTGTGAGGTTCTTCATCGTCCGCTCACCGCTCGTCTTTCTCTCCTTCCAGATCTCCGACCCACTCGGCCCGATGGGACCGCCGGCGCTCTGAGGAAGAGGAGAGCGGAGGACAAAAGGAGGCGGGGGGTTTGGAAGGACGGATTTGGTGGATTGGTTGGGGGTGCATGCTCCCCCTGCGGCCCGCCCCTCCTTCATCATCATCCTCCTTCCCGCTGCTCTCTGCTTCACCGTCAGGCAGACAAAAGGCCCAGAATGTGCAGTGAGGGCAGTGTGGGCTGGCTGAGGGGGGTCAGAGGTCACGGCGGGACTCTGCCCAGGACTAGAGTCTGGCTGCTGGTGCTGCTGCTCGCCGCCGCGGGCTGGACGCCGCCTGCGGCCCGCGCCGAGCTGGAGCTGGACATGCTGGGAGGACTGGTGCTGCTGGAGGCGGGCGGCGACGGCGAGGAGCTGGGCGGCGACCTGGAGGCCTCCATGCACTCCTCGCTGCTGCAGGACTTCCAGGAAGCGATGGACAGCCGGCGGGCCGCGGAGCCTGGCAGCGTGGCGGCGAGCCGGCAGGAAGCTGCCGCGTCCTCAGCTTTCCCAGACTCCTCGGCGGCGGTGGGCCGCGTTTTCCAGATCAAGGTGCCAAACAAGATGGAGGATGTTCACCTGGGAGACATCGTCAAGGTGAGTCGGCTCAAAGCAGCTTACAGAGCAGGAGGTTAAGCTGCTGATCCTGGACTCTGTGGTCGGTGGGTTGTCGGGTCGATTCCCAGTCAGACGGCCCGGAGAGGCAACACTCTAAAAATCTCACCAAGTCATTTTGGTTCTGCACAGACTCGACAGTTTTCCATGAGTGAAATAATCTGCCAGTGGAATTAGAACTTTTTCATTAATATTAAGGAATTTATCATTTAGAACAAAACTCTACATGTTGCTGAAATACTTGAGTTTCATCTTATTTCAAGTGAACTGAGATATTTGCACCAGAGAGTAGACCAGAATGACTTGGTAAGGTTTTGTGTTTTTGCAGTGCCTGATCAGCAGCTTGTCACCATCAGGCTGTGAATGAAGCTTTGGATCCTCTGGACTTGATAAACGCTGCACAGCGACAGACCACTGATGGTACGATGACCCATAACGATGAGTTCAGGGCTGCTGGGGGAGCTGCTCATAGAAGAACCTCTCAGGAGAGGAAGGCAGATCAATCAGAGTCCAAGAGGAGACTCTTTGTCTTGGCTGGTGGACCTGATGGACCTGATGGACCCAACGCTGGGTGGGTTCCTGTCGTCCATCAGCAGGTCCTGGAGGGAGAGGCTGCTGACCCTCTCCATCTTCCTGTGGGGGAACCATGAAGTTCCCGGACTTGAAGAGGTTCTTAGCCTTAGTTCTCCTTCAGTGATCAGTCCATTCAGAGCTGTGCTGATCTCCGTTCCTCTGAGGCAGAACCGGGCCGGTCCCTGGAACCGGTGGATGAAACTTCTCCACTCATGAACTTGGAGAATCATCCGTCTGAAAACCTGCCGCAGGAATCGGCGCTCTGTGGTCCTTCACAGGAATATTTCATCTGTAATCGCAGCTCATTTTCCAAAATAGCCGATTTTCTCTAATGAAATCTCAGAGGAGACATTAAGGTCCCGTCTCCTTCCTGTCCTCCGTCACCTGCAGCTGCAGCACAACCCCCCAGCTCTAATTGTCCTAACTCCTACCGTTGGTTTCCTCGGTTACCTCGTCTGTCCTGCTGTTCCCTTTTCATCACCCCACACACACACACACACACACACACACACACACACCAACCATCTTCCCTCCATCGCTGCTTTTATCTCTCCAGTCCCATCCCTCTCTCACTCTGTCACATCAGATCACATCAGTGTTATTGAACAGTAGCTTGCACTTTTAGCTGCTTTAATGAAGCTCACCACACACACACACACACACACACACACACACACACACACTCTCTCTCTCTCTCTGTGGGGAACGCTGTTTGTCTCAGAAAACGTCCCATCAGCAGCAGGCGGCTCTGAAAGTTTCTGCTTGGTTTTGTTGTCCTGCCACTCATCCTTCATTCCGGGGGGCGGGGGGTCGCTAAGCTAACCCTCTGCTGGGGGGGGCAGGCGGTGTGAGGGGGTTTGGAGAAGAGGAGGAGGAGAGGCTGGAGGCCCTTCAGGAAGGTCTCTGTGTGTTTGGGGAAAACATCCTGTTTGTCCTCTAATGGAAGGTTACAGGTTAGATTCCCCGTCCTGATGAGGAGAGCTGGGAGTTTGTTCTCCTTTTTATTTTTCCTTCCACACCCTCTTCCCCCCCCTCCTCTTCCTCAGCTTTTATTGCTCGTCCTGCACCCTCCCTCTGAACCTCTTCCTTCCCCCCCAGTTGTTCTGGAAGGTCGGCGGTGCCGAGGGTTTCAGAGGAAAAGGCCAAATCAATTTCTCAGCTAAGTGTTGCTCTCAGACCAACCTGGGGGGCGGGGTCCGCCTGCAGGACGCCCGTCCCGCCTGCATCCTCACCCTCCGCTGACAGTGAATGCATCGCCGTTCATCCGGAGCTTTCCTGTTCATCACCTACAGCTTCCATCAGGTTTCAGATACAAAACATCAAACTGCTTTTGTACGATCGTTCCTGCTACTAGTTTAATGTGACCGCAGTCAGACTTCTGCTCTGTTTACGGCAGTAAAGATGGCCGCTGCAGCGCTCTGTTTGCGACAGTAATTCAGCTGGAGTGTATTTGGTGGTGTCAGAGTAAAGGGAATCCGACAGTCTGTGGTTTCAGTGGGATTAAACTTGGAAGCCTATAGCCCTGCTGTTAGCTTAGCAACCCTGTTGTTAGCTTAGCAACCCTGTTGTTAGCTTAGCAGCCCTGCTGTTAGCTTAGCAGACTGCAACTCTTTTTATCAGGTGGTCAGGAGAAACATTTCATGGTCGGGATGGGTTTGGTTCTGATCCAAACTTCAAACCTTTTCCTCTCATTAAGTTCAGATTTCCTGAGAAACAGAACCACGATCTGGTCTGAGATGTTCTGTTGAACCTTTAAACGCTGCAGAGGAAGCTGGTCCTCCTCATCCCGGCGGTCCAGTTGAGTTCCAGGGAACCGGTTCTGAAACAGTCAGTGTTTTTATATTTTGCATTTTATTTTACATTTCACACCTGGACCTAAAAACGTTCACCAGGATTTAACTAGGACCCTCAGAAGCCACTAAAACCTGCTCAGTTCATCAGTGTTTTTCCATCTCCAATTTTCTGTTTTGTTTTTCTTGTTTCTGTGAACATTTTCCCCCCTGCTGGGATCTCACTGCGGTTCCTCCAGAACCCGTCGCTCGGTTCTCCGGGTCTTTAATTGTCGTCTCTCTGCTGCTCTGCATCTCAAGCCGTCGTGTTTTTCCAGCGAAGCTCCGCAGCCTGACTGGCAGGACGGGAGCGGAAAACTGGAGAACTGGGAGGAGATAAAACCCAGCAGAACATATGAGTCAGCCGGGCCGGGCCGGGCCGGGCCGGGCCGGGCATTGCAGCACGCTGCCATGAGGTTACTGCCGCCGCAGCGCTGGCGGCCATGTTGCTATATAATTAAACATACAGCAGCAGATGGACTCACATGTTCCTGATTATTTTCTTCCACAGTCATTCATGATTCAGCTGGATGTGCTGGTTCTGGAAACCATTACTGGTTCTGGTTCTGGTCTCTGATGTGCATCATACGGTCCTGATCAGGGCTGCAGGTTTATCCTGCTGGTGTTTCCCTCTGGAACCACAGAGATGCACGTTTGGTTCTGATCCAATGGGAGGAGGTTCTACAGAACCACGTTTGGTTCTGATCCAACTGGAGGAGGTTCTACAGAACCACGTTTGGTTCTGATCCAATGGGAGGAGGTTCTACAGAACCACATTTGGTTCTGATCCAAAGGAGGAGGTTCTACAGAACCACGTTTGGTGGTTATAGAATCTGGACTGATTGTAGAAATCGTTCAGGGATAATAATTCCTCCCATCAGAGCAGGAGGAAGTGTTGCCATGACGATGAGGTGAGTCCAACTAGGTGGTCCACTATCGGTTTTGCTCAGCTCTCAGAAGGTCCCACCAGAGCCCTTCAGTCAGTGTGAGGTCTGGACTTTGACTAGGCCACAGCAGTACCTGGAGTTTTTCGATCTGCTGCTGCGTTTAGGATCATGGTTCTGTTGGTGAAACTGGATCAAACAGTTCCAAACTGGAACTTTGAACTCGGTGAAGATCGCGTCCGGCTCGGTCTTCCCGGGAATTCAGAACCAAAATGAGTCCAAATGTTTTCCTTCAACATTTGCTGAATTAATCCTCTTCATTTTTGGAGCTTCCTCTTTGTTTTGGTGCTTCATGAGAACCTTCCAGAACCGGCTGCTTGATGACGTCACAACGTCCCGTCATTCCAAAATGGAGACCGACAAACGGTGGATTTGTTTTATCATTTTATATTTGAAAATTGATTTTGGGACTTTTTATGTTGATTCTGAATCGCAGAAAATGAGAATTGGGGATAATTTTTGTGTCTCACCCCTAATGTAAATGTTCCTGTTCTGACCCGGTTCGGGTCGTCATGCGAACCGGTCTGTAAACTCTGAGGCTTTTTGGGTGTGAACTGTCCCAGCCGCGCTCTGATTGGACCGTTGGAGTCTGACCCTTCTTCCTCTTCCTCAGGCTGCCTTCGCCCTCACATCTTCACCACTTCAGCTTCTCGTCTCTCATTATCCCCATCACTGTGTTTAAGATTTAATGGTTGGTGTTGGAGCTGCAGCTCGTTAGCTGGATAAAGATAGCATCTGTTTTATTCCGCTGCAAACGCAGCGAGCCTGCGAGGCAGCGCTCAGGGAAAAGTCTGCCATCTCTCCGCTTCCCAGCAGAAATCACGACATCGGATCAGTTTGGATCTGACCGGGATCTGACCGGGATCTGACCCAAAGCTGCGTCTTTAATCCCGAATCATGATCATTATTGTTGTTAATATTATTATCATTGTTATTATTTGGGGTTCTTGCTCCCAGATTTGCTGTCGGCCACCGTAGCTTATTGTTCTGTTTATGGTTTATGACTAACGCTAAACATTCACAGTCATAAATCAAAACATGCGGATAGAAAAGTAAAATTTCTCCTGGTGAAGAAAATAGTTTTTACTTGATCCTCCATTCATTTCTCCAGACAGAACCGCCGGTCCCGTTTGGACCTCCATTACTCATCCTGTCCATCAGAACCATCATTCAGAACTTAAACCTGGACTTTCACCGACCCAGTTATGATTCCACTCCCATTTTTTCCCCAATCCCAGTTTAACGAGCATTTTGAGCAGGCCACACGCCAACAACGTCACCGATCAAATTTTGGATATTTTAATTAGGATGAAACAACTGAGTGCAGAATTAATATTTAATTTTTATGTTTGCCTTTTTGATGACTTTATATTTGCTGTTTATTGCTAATAGTGCCAGATTTTCTGTAAATTAAATTTTTTAAAGCTGAAAAACACGATGTGCCGCCGGATCACTGACTCACCTGCTACCTGCTGCATTTGGATTTATTAACCAGAATAACATCATTGAAACGTGATTTTTGTATTTACTGGTGGTTCGGTTGGGATCTGGATCGACTCCCAGTTTGGGATGTTTCTGTCATCATGGAGGGTTTCTGTCCGGGTTCTCCTGGTTTGTTTCCCAGTGAGTCAGAACCAGCAGCTCTCCACAGATCCACCGCTGGATGATCCCGGGAAAAGCAACGTTTAATCAGCCAGAGGAGAGAGGGAAGCGAAGCGGGAAGAATGAGGAGGGAAACGAGAACGATATCTCTAGGAGAGATATGAGGAGGAGGCCGGCGGCGGAAGAAAGCGGCTCGCTGTCGCAGGAGCGGAGCAGGGCGCGAAGAAAGGAGGCCATTGTTGGGCCCGGCTCGGCAGATAAGCCTCATATTTAGGAGGGAGGACGAGGAGGATGAAGAGGAGCTGCAGCAGCCAACAGGGAGGGAGCTGGCAGGCGGGAGGCAGAGGGACGTCCAGTGGAAAATGTGATGGATGGAGGGATGGAGGAGGTGAAGAGCTGCAGGCCAGAGTGGCCCGCAGCCAGGTGGATGTTTACAGGAGCGTTTCCATCTCTGGGCTCATTTTCTGCCCTTAAAAATTAATTTGTGGCTGAAATCCACAGCAGGAACTTTCCCACTGTGGGAGCAGAACCTGCAGCCGGATCAGAACACGGACCGAACTGGCCAATCAGGGCTCAGCTCACCACCACCACCTTCTGCTGTTCCTTCATGATTTCCGTTTTGTTTACACTGAAGGAATAAACGGGCAGAACCAGAACTCCTCCGGGTCGGGTCCAAACAGAGGACAGCGGTGCCGACTGAGCTGTTCTGGAGCCGGACGGAAAATTCTCCGAGCCGCAGCCGGTTCCAGGAAAACGGGCTGTTACTATTAATGGATCTATTCTGGGAGCGGCGGTACATGAGGAAGACATTACGGATCGCAACTTTCATGTCTTCAGACAGGCAGCTGCGCATGCGCCGCACTTCAGCCGTCCACAGACACGCGGAAGCAGCGGCCATTAAAATATGATGATGGAGACGGAGAGGCTGTAAATCCGAGCAGAACTCCCCGCTTAACGGGCTCGGCCCGCAGCCAGCCGGGTGGTTCTGGTTCCAGCTGAGACCCAAACAGGAGAGGACACGGAGGCTAAAATAACACGGAGCAGGTCAGGGGGTTCGGCTGGAGGACCCGGACAAAACCCAACACGGACCGGACATGCAGAGCCCAGGGTGGGACTCGAACCCACGACCCGCCTGCTGCTAGGCAACAGAGGCAGCCAATAATATTCAGGCTTTTCTAAATACTGAAGCTGCTTTTATGATTCAGATTATAAAAACAAATATTAAACTAAATAAATGTATTAAAATTTAACTTGAACTTTCTGCATCATAAAATGAATCAAATCATTAGATTGTAATAACATTTTGTATTTTAATTACTATTAATTTTATGTTAGCCACTTTGGCTCCGCCCACCTGGCTGGTTTCCGAAACCAGGTCACGTGACCTGCGCCCTCATCATTAAACGCCCTCAGGACACCCGCCCCCTGGTGGCGGAGGTCTGTAACTCCGTGTGAACAGCATTTATTCATCTGTCTACATTTTTCTAAATGGACCAAACTGAAAACTAATTATTGGTTGATTCACTTCCACATTGATGAGTTTTCAGTTTAGATTGACTTATTAAACATCTGCTGAGCGGTCAGAGCCAATCAGAGGCCGCCTCTGGCCTCCAGCTCACTGATTGGTTAAAGGGATTCTGCAGTGAAATCCTCTGAAACAGTGAGGTATGTAGCCGTTTTAATGCAGCATCCAGTCTGACTTTAATGTTTTTACCCTCATATAAAGCTGTCAGGTTAAACTTTACGATGATGAGCTCACCGTGCGACCCCTGACCCCGCCCATCAGGAGGCGGCCGTGCAGAGAGGAATCCGCCTGATGCGATAACGTCTCTCTGCGTTTCACGCCTGTTGCTCCTGGAGCCGGTTGGTTTTTTGGCCAGCCTGCTGCACGGCGGCGGCTGCCGGCGGCTTCCTGACTGCTGATAGTCACGGCGGCTCACAGCAGCAGATGATGAAAGGAGCTGCAGCTCTGATGAGATTATCACTCGTTTCCTTTTAATGAAGCCTTTTAAGTTGGGGCCAAACAGATGTGGCTGCTCCGCCTGCCGTTCATTCTTCAAACCCAACATTAGCATCCATCATGGAGAGCGAGTTCCTCGGCAGTATCGCTCCTGAACGAGGCGTTTAGCTGCATCTGAATAAATTCACTCCGCTTGCCGCCACCGTAGCAGCTTTCCAGACACTGGTTCTGATCCGTTTCTTCCTGGTCCGTCCTGCAGGAAGCTGGTTTGTCTCGGCTGACAGCCTGGGGGGCCGAACATCAGACTCCTCTGAAGCTTTACACTGGAAACGACTGGAAACTTTTTCTAAACGCCTTCTGAGAGAGGAGGAGGAAAGATGAAGGTTTCTGCTGGGAGTTGAAAGGGTTCATGCACGACTCCAGACGAGCATTTATCACTGGTTTCACTGGTTTTACTGGGTCATTTCCACAACTATTTCACATGTTGCAACAGAAACAAAACTGCAGAGGAAGTGGAAAGCGTAAAGTTGAGTTGCACAATATTTGTTTTATTTTGATTCCAACAGGAAAAGTTTAGTGGATTTCCTGTTTCAGCAGCCTGCAGACGTACCTGAGCCACAGGTGGGTTTGGTCCGTTTCCCACAGTCAGAGGTTCTTGCACATTTCTGTCCACTGGCAGTGATGCATTTTTCTTGTTGAACTGGAGCCAATCAGAGGAGAGGGTCTGCTCCTTCTCTCATTTGATTGGCTCTGAGCTCGACGTCGTTTTATTAGTCAGAGTGAAAACGTCCCTCCTTCAGGTCCGAGTCGAATGAGAAATATTTTCTAAGAAAAATTCTGGCTGACACAAAATGTTGACCTTTGACCTTTGACTCTGTAAGAATGGTTCTTGGTTCATCGGCTCATCCACTGACCCGTTAGTGACATTATGCAGATTTTTAATTTAACTATGTAAGATTATTTTAGACAATATTTGAAATACATGAGAAAATGGAGACGAGCAAATCATTCAGTTCCTTTTTAATGATTCAGTTCTTTTCTAAAATAAGAAAATAAACATTTTATCATTCCTTGGTAATTTAGTTCTAAATTCAGCTTGTTGAAACTGTTTGTGTCCCGTTTCTGTGGTGGTGATGAAATCTGTGTTGCTCTGGTTTCGCGTCTCTGTGGTTTAAAACCAGCAGGCGGGGCAGAGGGCGGGGCAACAGAAGGCAGAGGGCGGGGCAGCAAAGGGCGGGGCAACAGAAGGCAGAGGGCGGGGCAACATAAGGCAGAGGGCGGGGCAGCAAAGGGCGGGGCAACAGAAGGCAGAGGGCGGGGCAACAGAAGGCAGAAGTCGGGGCAGCGTCCTGATCAGAAGACATGGACGCCTGTCTCGTGTCAGAGGACCTGCTGTCTCCTGGACACAGAGACGAGGACATGAGAACCTGGAGCTCCGTCTCTCTGTTTGCTTCTCGTGAGCTTGGTGCAGCCGTAATGATGCATCCTGGGAGCAGCTCGCTGCATAATTTATTAACTGGGATTTATTAGCCGCAGAATTAATTTGTGGCTGGGGGGAGGGAGAGACTCACTCTTGTTTCTGAGTTTATCTTTGCGCTGGCATTGTCCCTCCCCGGTGATCCATTTCTCTTCATCAGCCCCCCACCAGCCTCATAATTGACCGACTTATTTTAATTTTAGCCGCGTTTAAATAACGATTCAGCTCTGCGTTTGTGTTTGCATGTGAGGAAGAGGAAGAAGAGGAGGGTGAGCAGGATTTATTGTTCAGCTCCAGCAGGAACCTGAATCCAAACGCTGCCTTATTCAGCCTCTGCAGCAGCTGACTGGTAGAAATACAGCAGATAGAATCAGGCATGGAAGCAAACTGTTAATGGTTTATTAGTTTAGTGTTGTAATTTGGCCACCGTCCAGAAGAGGGCGCCTCTGGGTCCTCAAGCTCAGCCAGTTGATATAGAAACAAAGATGGCAGCACTACACCAGAATGTGAAGGAGAAACGGTCCAAACAAAGTCCAGTGTGGGATGCAAGATGCATTTATGTGGTTCTATTCGAAATATAAACAGTGGATGTAATTCAGCTGACTGAAGAAATTGTTCAGATCTGTTTCTTTGTTTTTTTTTAATTCACCACATTCTGACTAATTTTGATTGGTATGATATGGAAAGATGGCCAACCCTCTTGATAAAAGAAAACCCAGGATTTCAAAGGCAACATGATGTAAAATCATCTTCTTTGAACTTTCCATCGTGTCATTCTGTCAAACAAACATGGAGTGTTGCTTTGATTCTTTCATGCATGTTTGAGAAATCCTGTAATCTCCATGGCAACCGTTCAGCTGTGCAAATCCCCTGGGTGGACCTAGCCCTGCCCTCGAGGCGCAGCTTCTAACCCACTCAGCTCCTTCAGACTAGCCAGCAGCAATTAGCAAACAGCTGGTGGAACTGTTGAGCTCGTTATAGGAGCTGCTGCTCAGAGCAGTGATGGTAAAAACGTTAAAGGGTTAATAGAGGAGCCATGTTGGGACGACTTCCTGGAGGTGGAGCTTCAGGAAGAGCAGGAGCTTCTTAAAGAGACAGAGGCCCAAAAAAGGGCTGTTTATCAGTTAATTATTAGTCGACTTTACATTAACTCATTGATAACTTGTGTTCCTAATCCAAGTTGCCATGGTAACCAAATTGTAAATCTCCCGCCTTTATAACTGTTTCCCACCAGTGATTCCCAAATGTTTAAAATCCTGGATCGGCGGCTCATTCCTGCTCTCTGGTTTGTCTCCAGGTGACGGAGGTGGGGAAGGACTCGCTGCCCGCCTGGTTGCACTGGGATGGTGGCAGCAGCGTCCTGCGGGGGCTCCCTCTGGAGGAGGACAAAGGAGTCCACTACATCTCTGTGACCATCTCCAACCACACTTCCTCTTCCTCAGAGGAGTTTTCCATCGAAGTTCACCCGGACGACCACTTTGACAGCGACCCGTCGGTGCCGCTGTCCGGCCCGGCGGCAGCTGAGGATCCCGTCCAGCCCTTTGTGTGTAGCAACGAGGAGCCGGTCACGGTGCTGACGGTGATTCTGGACGCCGATCTGACAAAGATGAGCTCGGCGCAGCGGGTGGAGCTGCTGGACAGGATGAGGAGCTTCTCAGGCGTGGAGCTGCAGGGCATGAAGATGCTGCCAGTGGTCAACAACCGGCTGTTCGACATGTCGGCCTTCATGGCCGGGCCAGGAAACGCCAAGAAGGTCAGCAGATAAACATGGTTGGCTGTAAGCTAACAAAGAGACGTAAAGTTAAACTTCTATTAATAATTTCTCCTGGTTTCTGTGCATAATTAATATGTTTAGCGTTTATTCTTCTTCTCTTGACATTCAGAGGTTCAGTCACATCAACCTCTGAGCTTCAGGCTGTTGATGTTCTCCTGTTAGCTAACGACGCTAACAGGAGGACATCCTGTTAGCGTCGTTAGCTAACAGGATGGCAGCTTCTCCTGTTAGCTAACGATGCTAACAGGAGGACATCCTGTTAGCGTCGTTAGCTAACAGAATGGCAGCTTCTCCTGTTAGCTAACGACGCTAACAGGAGAACAATCTTCTCCTCCCAGCCTTCAGTTTGCTGCTTCCATCTCAGACAGTTTTCGTCTGGATATTTTCACATCTTCAGCTGGTCAGATCATCGTCTGACAACAAGCCAGAACAAAACAGCTCCTTTACTTTCTGAAACATCTTAGTAAATAATTCACATGCATCTGTTCTCCCCACACAAACATAAAAAATGTGATTTGTCACCACAACAACTCAAGCTGCCATATCTGCAAAACGCCATTTTTCCCGAGTGTAAGTGAGTGAAACTCCACAGGATTTATCTTTCAGGTCATAAAAGACTTGAGTTCCTCAGCAGGCCTTAAACTCAGCCTAATATTTTACACAGAGCTTCTCCCGGGTTCAGGAGCTGCTGCAGAAATCAAACTGCAAAAATAAACAGAGTCCTCACATCAGCCATCAGAGCTGCATATAATGTTACAGAATGGCCAGCTGCTGTTTTTCTCCTCTTTAACAATCGAATCATTCGCTGAATCGTACAGAAACCCAGTGGCTTCATCGGTGTGTTTGTTTCTCAGGTGGTGGAGAATGGAGCTCTTCTGTCATGGAAGCTGGGCTGCTTCCTGGACCGGACCACCGTTCCAGATATCAACAGTGTCCAGGGTCCAGCTAAAGATGGATCCATGTCTGCCAGGCTAGGTTACCCCGTGGTGGGATGGCACATCGCCAACAAGAAGCCACAAATCCCAAAGCGAGTGAGACGGCAGCTGAACAACACTCCGACGCCCGTATTGGCTGTTCTTCCTCCAACCACGGCGGCTGAACCTCCGGTCAGGATCGTCCCAACCCTCTCCTCTCCCTCCATCGCTGCATCCACAGAAAGTTCTGCCCCTCCAGTTCGGGGTCCTGTGCCTCTGCCAGGGAAGCCTACAATCAGAATCCGTGACCCCATCGCCCATACCCCGACCCTGGGCCCACCTCAGCCAACCAAGGTCGTTGTGACCACCAGCACCGTTTCCATTCAGCCATCCATGTCCAGGAAGATCCCTGTAGAGCCCACCGCCACGCCCACCATCCCACCCAAAAAACCACCCAGGAAACCACCCAGCACCACCCCAAAGACCCCCTCACCCAAGGCCCCCACAGCCAGCACACCGTCACCTGGCGTCATCGACGACCCAAACAACAAGAAGCCGGTGCTGAGGAACCCCATTGACCAGGTTGTTGCACTGGTGGGAACGTATTTCGAGGTTAAAATCCCTTCTGATACCTTCTTCGACAAAGAGGACGGAACCACAGACAAGCTCCGCCTGTCTCTGAAACAGAACCACAAGGATGTGGTTGGAGAGGAGTCCTGGATCCAGTTCAACACCACCAGCCAGCTGCTGTACGGCCTGCCGGATGTTCAGCACCTCGGGAAGCACGAGTACTTTATGCAGGCAACCGACAAAGGAGGCCGCAACGCCATCGACGCGTTTGAAGTCAAAGTAAACCGCTGGCCTGCCAATGACAAAACGCCGGTCATTTTCACGGCCCGCTTTGAAGGAGAGCCACGGTTAATCACCAACAACATCCACAAGAAGATCCTGCTGGTCAAGAAGCTGGCGTACGTTCTGGGCGACCGCAACAGCAGCACAGTGAGCCTAAGGAACATCAGCAAAGGCTCCATCGTGGTGGAATGGACGAACACCAGCTTGCCGCAGCATCTGTGTCCCAAGGAGCAGCTCAGGAACATGAGCCGGACGCTCGGAGACGCCGACGGGAGACCCACACAGAAGTTCAGGAACTACATGGGGCCGGACTTCAGTCCGCTGGAGGTGAAGGTGCGAGGCAGAGCCAGCTGCCGGATGTACTCCTTCATCCCGCCAGCAGAGGTCGACATCCCAGAACCTTCCACGGTCACTCCAGGCCTGGGGTCGAGCCGCCACAGCACTGATGACGTCTACCTTCACACAGTGATCCCTGCTGTGGTGGTGGCGGCCATTCTGCTCATCGCAGGGATCATCGCCATGATCTGCTACAGGAAGAAGCGGCGGGGCAAGCTGACCATCGAGGATCAAGCCACCTTCATCAAAAAGGGCGTGCCTATCATCTTCGCCGATGAGCTGGACGACTCCAAGCCGCCCCCCTCCTCCAGCATGCCGCTGATTCTCCAGGAAGAGAAGCCGCCGCTGCCGCCCCCCGAGTACCCCAACATGGCCAGCCCAGAGACCACGCCCCTCAACCAGGAGATGCTGGGGGAGTACACCGCCCTGCGGGATGAAGACCCCAACGCACCCCCCTACCAGCCGCCTCCTCCCTTCACGGCTCCCCAGGAGGGGAAGGGCTCCCGTCCAAAGAACATGACCCCGTACAGGTCGCCGCCCCCCTACGTGCCGCCATAAGGCCCGGCTGCCCTCCCCTCACGGCGGAGGGAGGCTCCAGGAACTGCGCTGGTTTCTGCTGTTTCTGTCTGGACTTTTACAGGAAGTGATGTCAAGAGGTGCTAAAGTTCCAAAACAACGGAGGCGACGGTCTGGGTGGGGTCTGGAACGGCTTTGAGGTACTACTGGTTCTGTGGTAGCCGCCGCGCTCTGATCCCAGCGGGCCGCTGACCCGACCCAGAGGAGACCACCGGGAGACCTGCTCTCCCTCTCAGCATTTCAGCTTTTTCTACATTTGAGAACTGGATTTGACTTTTCTTCTTTTTCCCCGATAACTTTTATTTTTCACTGGACTGAAGCGTTGCCTAACAGCCGTTGTGTCCTGCTAGCGTCACCAGACACACACACGTCTTCTGAAACATCGGATCCTCGTCCCAACCCCAAGCTCTCCGATCGAAGGGAAGCCCAGGTGTGTGTGTGTGTGTGTGCGTGCGTGTGTGTGTGTGTGAGAATGAGTGTGTGTGTGTTTATTGGGATTCATAACGGTTTGCCTTTTAACTCGGTTTGTCTGTTTTTATTCTTATTCACAAAGTCTAGCTGAGAATAACAAGGTAGAGATGAATAATCGTTTGTTTTGTTGGTTTTAAGTTCACTGTTCGTCTGGAAGACTTTTTATTTGGTGGAGCGAAGTGGGAGAGAAAGAATTATCTTCCAAAATATTAACAGGTGATTTTTTTTATTCCTGTTTTTCTACAAGACAAATCAGACACAACTTTCAGTCCGGTCCTCTGAGACGAGAGAAACCAGGCAGTAAGATCAACGACGGGAATCCTGTGGGAACCGGTTTGAGCCAGTTTGAACCGATGGGAAGCGGTTTGAACCGATGGGAAGCGGTTTGAACCGGTTTCCAATGGAAAGCAATTTCCAGTGGAAATCGGTTCCAATAATCGACCATCCAAACAATTTGGATATCAAAAAACCCAGACGTGTGACAGAGAACGGATTTAAATGTTTTATTTCTCCGGTCCCGGTCAGACGCTCCATGGTCGGTATTTAAATAATCCAGTTTGGACAGAAGGCCGTCCACATCCCGCCCGATGGGTTACAGGCGGTAACCAGAGCAACCGACAGTGACTCAGAAACAGAACCGACCTCATGGTGAGGAGGTCGGGTTTACCTGCTCTGATGTCACATCCTGCAGCCAGTCAGCTTCACCCTGACTCCGGTGTGTCCCTGACGGCTCCATCAGGCCCCGGTCATCCACTGGGCATGTTCTGTGTCTGCTGACCCACTGTCAGAAGCTCTGGTAGCTGCCTGATGACCCTGGTGGCGCCCCCTGGTGTTCAGGCTGCATGTAGAGCAGGTGTATCACCTGTACTGGTTTTCCACAGGATTCCAGCTCCGCCTCTTTTCTGTCCGGTAAAACTGGTCAAGAAACCCGGAAACTTTAAACCAGGGATCGTTTTATTTGATTTTACTTTTTTCTACGTGACGCTGGGACTCTCCCAGAAGTGAAGTTTTGTTTTCCTGATTTTTCCGGATTGTGTCTGAGATTCAGGAAAGCAAAAACATTGAATTTCCAACCAGTTTCTCCCAGAAAACCTTTTTTTTTTTTTACTTTTTGATACAGCCTCAAATTGTTTATTAAAATGATCTGAATTGATGATTAGTCTTCTGTGATTTGTTAAAGTTTTAGCTTAGTTCACTCATGGGTCACATTTGGATTATTTTGGTGTTGGCGTCTCCGATGCGGCGCAGAGACCCGGAAGTCGTTTTGTTTCCATCCTTCGCCTGAGTTGGAGCAGGAAGTGACCCTTTGCAATAACGGCGTGCGGCGCGGCCGCTCCATGCAGCCTCACGCGTGTGACTCATACTGTCATGATGTTGGTTTTCGCAGGATGCCAAGGCTTTTTTTGCTTATCCAGTGTGCATTGTAATAATAAAACCAACTGGTACCTTAATCAAACCAACGCCTGGCTCGTCTTTCTTGCGTCTCGCCTCATCCCTGCTGGATCTGTTGGGAGCTGTCTGCTCCACCAGACCTGAAGCCTGGTTCTGGTTCTCCCTCCCCGTCTGAAGCCGTCTGGGACGGACAAGCTGCTGTCCAACTTGTCCAAACTTCTCTTCCTGGTTAAAGGTTTTGCTTTGAAGACTCGGTCCAGTCAAATCACACTCTCCACCGACTGAATCCAAACGCTTTGCTCTGATATTGACCATTGATTAGATGTAAACAGCTGAGCGATGATTCATGACGGAGTTTAATTTGGAGGAGGGTGAAGCGAAGATGAATGAATTCCTGCAGGAGAGACGGAGCTCAGGGATGATGGAGATTAATGGAGGATTGATCCCGGCCTGATTGAGGCGCCTCTCTGCTGTCAGACTAAATCAGCCGTATGTATAACTGCATGGATGTTGAGTCCATCAGCTGCTGATCCAGTTAAACTTGGAGATCAGACGGAGTTTAATCTGAATGCTTTAAAACATGAACTTGTGGCTCACAGAGAAAATGGCTTCCAGTTCCAGGACCAGTTCATCTCAGACCGAGTTTAAATAAACCCTTACTGCACCACCGAATAAAGAAACACAAATA